CTTAGATAAGTAGGCAGGTGAAAGTGGCTATCGAACAGATCCGAGTAGAAGGCGTGGGATGACTTTCTCATCCCGAAGTGATGCAGTATTTACTCCGTGAGGGGTTAAGAGGCAGGTCATTCTTCGTCTTGTAGCTGGCAAGCTTCGGCGAGCATTACGGATGCTCTCAGCCTCTGCTGTCTCGGCTGATACTGCTGGTCTTCATTCCCTGAGATCTTTCTTTATCGCGTCTCTACATAGCTTCGCAACGCTCGGACGTGATTTGATGATTTCCTGCGTGTCGCACGGCTCAAATCGGTTTCAGTTTCGAGAGCTTCCGATACTGACGTCCGTGATTTTCAAACTCTCTGCCTTCCTGCCACTATCGTGAAGATGACGACGACGGATAATACTCCTCGTCGATGTATTCAATAACGGGAATCTCCCATAAGCTGACGAGGAAGCGAAGTGGTCCCAGTTGGTGCTGTCTGGGGCTTTGCTTCCAGAACTTTGCTGCTTCTCTCAGCGTGCATCGGAAGTGAAATCTTGCGTCGGAGGAGACGATGGTCCGATCCCTGTAGAAATTGGGAACAACCAGCGACTTCGGTCAGCAAAAGCTTCGATTTAAGATGATGTGGTCTATCTCGTTATGAAACTGTCCATCAGGTGACTCCCAAGTCCAACGAAGGTGAGGGGGCTTTTGAAACTGTGAGCTACTATGGATGGTGTTGGTCGACGTGATAGCATGCAAAAAGGAAAAAAAAAGGGAGTGAAAAAAACCCATAACTTGTTTAAAAGCCGCACAAGTGTATTAAACAAAACTTCCGCCACAGGTGGCACTCAACCCGCACCTTTCGCTTTTCTGGAAAGTGTGCTATGATTTACCTTATCGTGGTCTCGTCCGGCCCTAACTCAGTTTTTCATGATGTGTCTACCATAGCTCAAAGCATCACACTTATAATGGTCAGCCGGCATCGGCAATGAACCGCGAGGCTGAAAGCTTCAGTAATTGATTTTGGCACGCTTTTGATTGTTAAGTATGTGCAAACACATAAACAGCAGTCAATATTCGAGAAAAGTCAAAATCAGATTGTTGAAAGCACTCTTAAACAGACAACGAATGCAGAGCTCAGCGCCTCAAGGCAAATGCAGTAAGGTACGCCCCATTGCATATGGGCGGATCGGCCTGTTGGCCTTCCCTGGCTTCTGACATCTTCAGCCATATGTTAGGAAATCTTTTTGTCCCGAAATATACGTAGTGCTTAAGTACGATCAATAGCACATCTAAGAAAACGTCCAAACCTGACGTGGGTAATGCGAGGGCATGCGCAGATTATTTCTCGAACTAATCGTAAGTCTCATCACTTCATTCGATTGGTAAGCACTCGAATCAAAACACCTTCACTACTAATAAATGAGCATAAGAAATAAGGTTACTTAATCTTATTCTGTCCGGGTTCCGGGGCCATCCAGAGTTTGAAGTTTTCGACATTTCGAAATTTTATTGAAAATATGTTTTTAATTTGAGAATATTACCCAGATTCGGAGGCCTGCATTAACTTTATTTTGGGTAGTGTCAGCCTTGAGGAGTTTTGTGAAGTTCTATCGTAGATAAACGATTTGGCATAGCCCATCAGTTGTTGCAAAGAGTCAAGTCTGCATCGTCAAGCTTATGTGGAGCAAGTTGAGTAACGTCGAGGAATATTCGACCATAGCTCTCTACTGTGCGAGAGTAGTGTCGAGAGTGAATGCATGCGCGTGGGAGCGTGTGAAAGAAGTCCTCGACGGGCCGTTGTCGTTTCCTCAAGTGATTTTACCACGATGTGGAGTGCACCGTTTTCATCTCAAAGAAGAAACACAGACGACACATTCTTGCGGCATAGCACCACATATCATATCAAATTGCCATTTTGTTTTTTTTATCCTTTGTTCACTTGTTATTTGTTATTTCAGAAGCGTGTTGTTATTTCAGTTGTTCGATAACGTTGCCGTTCCAATCCTCCTTCCCTGCTGAATTGGTGACGTCAAAATGCAAGGGCCATGATTATAGCAATAGGACCCCTTTGAGGGCTCCGCCCCTACGGAAGCCTTTAAAGGAAGTGGTCACGATAATTCTCATAGGGACGATAAGGAAAGCTGTTAACTAGAGTAGATAGGGGTTCTGCCCAATGTTAGAACAAGTGAAGTTTCAGTGGCAGTGGCGCCTTATCAACGGAGTGATAAGGCGCCGAAATCCACTTCCGTTGAGCAAAAACCGAGACTTATCGATGTGGAAAGGGGTGAGATATGATACCGTTATCGTTATCGTCCCGTTTTCATTCAGAAGTGCACCTCTTAATAAGCAGCCGCACCTTCTTTCCTCATCGTATCATATCTTCCATGGGCTTACACTCGTCCAACAACTACTGCCTCACACCTTTTCAATTGATAACGCGAGGGTAGCAAATCTAGCGTGAAAGCCAGCGTGATCCCGGCCCGCTGTAGAAGACCGATCCGCGCTGCTCCGGATGCCGATAAATGAACGATCTTCATCTGAGAAGTTTGCGAATAGACTCAGCAGTCAGTCGGTCGTTGAGCTCCCAGACATGGGAATTCATCTCCCATTCAGATGGGCCTAACGCTTATGTTAGCTTATTTTTGGAGAAAGTTGGGCTGTTAGTCTTCTTTAGCGGTTCAGGTCAAGTTTGCTTCACTTAGAATGTCACCATCCAGTGCAACTGTAACCTTCGATCTATCGCCGCTGTCACAGAGGTTCATACTAACACTTGAAGCCTACAACAACGACAAAATCAGATGTGGATCAACAGACTCTAATAATTCTTTGAAATTACCTGGAATTTACAATAGTTGCTCCGCGCCCCTTTTGGTTTCTTATTTTGGTTTGAATTTGATTTGGACGAACATAATTGTGGATTTCGCCTGTTTAGGCATGATGTAACCTAACAGATAACGTCAAGAGCCAAAGAACAAATTTGGCAACACCATCAGAAACAGCTCAAAACATTTTCATTTAAAAGCAGCAGTTTAATTGAAACAAAAACAAAATTGAAAAATAATAAAGCATAAGCTACCAGAAATGGAGATTGTCTGAAAGCCCGATTTCATGGATGCCTAGTACCTTCTTTTCAGAGAATGGGAAACTTTGTCTTGGTTTCGTTCTTGGTACTGATCTGGATGAGCTGTAGAGCTCATTTTCCTTAGAACAGTACTCAGCTTTAGAGTTTATGCTATATTTGGCATGAACACATGCTGCTTACCACGAAAGGGTCCTGGGTCGGGGTGGCCATCCAAAACCCCAACTGTGCATGTCTCAGTGCATATGACCACTTCGACCCATATGCCTTTCTAACTGATAGTTCTATAACGCAACACTAAGGGATATTCGAAATTATGATTATTTCTTATATTACTTCCAACATATATTTGTGTTACTGTAAAGACTGCATATTATTGCATTATTATATGATAAATCGTTTGACGTTTCGACTAGTAGACCGAGTTTCACGAGACGAATTTTCATCGGAGCTCAAAGGGTTGCAGTATTTTATCCGTGTGGAATCTGTCTTCCAAGAGGCAACCCAAAAAGCTCGTAAAAATCTAGTGGCACATATGTGACCCTCTACTAGTGTCTATGGGATAAACACTTTCAGGTGCCATTTTCGTCGTTCCTTTTCTATCAACGCTAGCTGACGATTACGGCCGCAGACCTATAACAGTGATCTGCTTATTTACAGCGTGAGCTTTATCGCAGCGCTTGAGCCTTTTTCATTTTTTTTCATTTTGATGCTTTGATGCATTTTGGTGCTGTCACTAGACAATTGCAGGTTTCTTTGCAATTTACTCGCGTCTGTTTCACCTAATTATTATATTTTTATATTGCTAAGACTGATCGTAGGAGCTTCAAGTGACGTGAGCATTCTTCAATATTTCTGCGAATTATCTTCTTGTCATTTTTTGCCTCCTACATTATCCAGCGAGGTGGGGCGTAGGGGTATCCTTACTGAAAAATACTTGCACTCTCTACCAACTTGAATGTGCCGGTTGTGGTCACTAGAGACAAAACGCAGAAATTACTCGGTCTCGGAGGACTCGGCTTTCGAAGGGAAACAGGTCCCGAAAATCACACTCTCTGGATGGGCGTGCGAGTAAATCTAGGGGAACAATGTAATATCAGTGTCAGTGAAAGTGGAAGAACACAGTCACTAGCGATCGTCGAGCAGGCTAGGCACATCATGTTAGTTAGGCGATGGCTGCTCGGTAATTGCAATCAACGTCTTAGCATTCTAGACGACTTCGAGTTGAGTAAATGTTCCGCGTGTGATGAGCTCTCTGAGCTACTCTGATTTGTCTTCCATCCACCTCTGACTCATTGATGAGCCCCGGGGCTTCATGGAAATAAAGTGGTTCGTGAGGCTGAGGCGAAACGAACCATCTTGTAATTCTTACATATTCAAAACAGTTTTCGTTTGCTTTTGTTTTTGTTATTGTGCCGTCAATGAGTC